TGATGTTCAGTGGTTGTCGTTTGTTGATGTGGTTCATTAGTGTTTCTCGTTTCTCGTTTTTTATATAGATTATACCGTTGGTTTTCCTGTTTGAATGGTATTACACTAGTCATTTTTTTGGGCCCTTTATAGCTTTCTGTTCGGTGTGAGCCAAGCTCCGTGTTGAAGGCCGTACTTTGACCTATAATGGTTTACCTTTACAAATTGTGACTTGGATGGAGAGTTGTCTCATTGGCACTCATACCACATCTTCTTATATCTATTTGTAAGATGTAACACCATTAGATCGGGCCTGGTAAACAAAAGAACATACTAGAAAGTGGTACAGATTTAAAACAAAATTGTTCCTATGTATGTTTGTTTATGTGTGTCCAATGGCTATTGCCAGGAATTTGTTTTTACAGTATCATATTTAATTTGGTTGAGTCAATATAAAAAAAAACTTGTCTAGCTTCTTGACCTTTGTGGTATTGACAACATTGTTGAAGACTGTGTTCCATAATTGTTTTTTTTATTGTACTATCATGTTTTTCTTCCGTTCCATTAAAGTATTATACCTAACATTTCCGCTATCAATTCAAGGAATTGCACTTTTATATGATAAGCGACGATAACTGTCATACGGAAAATTTCAATTTTATAGTGTAAGTGTGTTTACTAAGAAAACTTATTTTATTTCTAAATAAGTTTTAATTATCTTATTAACATTGGGTTGTATCAAAAATATTCATTACAGTTGTGTGTATTGCAATATTTTGTTTGATCTCTTTGAGTTTTACTACGTTTGCAATTAATTTGTTTACAGTAACATGCAGGTTTGGTTTATGACGCATTAAATTGCTTGTGACATTCAAAATAATTATATAAATGTATAATAATATATAGAAAAAAACATAGAATGTGTCACTCATTTTCCCTACCATCACTTGTTTCCAGTAACTCAGGCTTCCGTTTTGGACTCTTACAGTTTTAAGAAATTTATCCCTCCTCCCAAACATCAATATTGAAAAAATTACCAGCGTATTGATTATTGATAATTTGTATAGCATTCAAGATTTTTATTTCAGTTTGACTACCACATGTCAAGATAAGATTCATTTTACATCTTACTGATGAAGGATACACTCTAAAAATTGTGTTTAGAGCCTAAACACTTTCCTAAACACATTTATGAAACCGATTTTTGACATGTTTTAAATCTAAACATGTTTAATATTTAATGTGCTAACAGCCTAAACGTGTCAAGCTATAAAGTGCTTAGACTGTAAACATGTTTAACTGTAAAGTGTTTAGACTAGAAACATGTTTAGCTGAAAAGTGCTTAGACTGTAAACATGTTTAGCTGTGAAGTGCTTTATCTGGAAACATGTTTAGCTGTGAAGTGCTTTATCTGGAAACATGTTTAGCTGTGAAGTGTTTTGTCTGGAAACAAGTTTAGCTGTGAAGTGTTTTGAATGTAAACATGTTTAGATCATAAAGGGTCGTGAAGAAACATATTATCATTTTAGTGTGAGAAGCCGTTTCTTCATTAGGCCTAAATTTAACTAATTTTCCGGAAGGCTAGACTGTCTAACGTTTATTAATAGATAGCTCTCAATAAAACAGGTTTTCATACCATCACAAAAAGGAACCAATGTATCAAATTAAGAAAATGGAATTTCCATATCAAATTGAATGTGACCAATACCTTTTCAATCTTAATGAGTGTTTCTTTACTTCAATTCACGTCATTTGACTATTGCATTTTTACTTCATTTCAAATATTTGTAAAGTAGTAAATGTCATGTTCTAGAACTTTTTGAAATGAAATTATCATAATACTAAATCTAGCTTTAAAAACAAAATTACAACATATAAAACAAAGGAATTTATGTTATCATTCATTTCCAGTTAATCATTGAACAATCAAACATAAATTCATAACAAGGTACATGTACATAGTATTGTTAATGACCACTCCTACTTCTACTTGTACCCCATCCCCTACAACAAAACAATTTGAAATTGTCCTGTTTTCATTTTCAGGACAATAAGTCATGGAGTTTCTCCTTTCTTAGTACCCAACTGCTGGTCACTGGCCTGAAATATAGAAAAAAAATTGATAAGCAACTTAGTAGAATTACTATTAAAATATAAGTAAACGAACTACAACACCAAAAATTAAAAGCATGATTTAAGATCCAGTTAACAACGTTAAGACCAAGGTGGTATAAAAGCATAAATTTACTGATGAATCAATTGATATATATTTTTTAATATTAATTTTTTTTTCACGCTTTATATTATTCATTTGTTCAAATCTATATTGGCATTTTAAAAATCAAATACACTTCTGATTCTTACCTGGCAACAGATTTGCCACTGTTCTTTATCTCCTCTTGTAGCATGTCAAGACAGATGATGATTTCCTCTGCATTTCTCTCATCAATCTAGAATAAAACGATACATGTATATGAAATTATAAGAATAGCAAAACCTCTTCTTACTATTGAATTAAACAAGCATCATTCTATTTATTTTGAAGAAAAGTGTTGATTCTTCATCTCGAAAGTGCTTACGAAAACAATGAACTCGAAATGGTAAGCCTCAGTAGATTCCGCTACCCTTCATGTTACATTAGCATAATCTGCAGAGGAGTACCGAACGAAAATGATCCTCACAAACTCCTTTTCCAATCACATAAATTAAAAATAAGTGAAAGTTTCCATGATAGAACATTAAACAACTTTTTATATCTTTACACAAGATAGTTTGAACACTTAAAGCTCCTACAAGCACTTGTTTCGTGAGATGGTGCCCCCCCCCTTTTTCTTCTGCATGATTGACTATACGGTAGTGTACTTGTAAATAATGCTTATAATTGTCAATTATCATTTAAAATTGGCAGTACAAAATAAAAGACAGTATAATCATAACTCCTTATCTTCTGAAACAGTCAAGTTGCGGTCAGTTATGGTCAGTAGTATAAACAGCGTGGCCTTTGACTTCGGGTTCTTTGTTTCTTGTTCCCGCTCAAAAACTATCACGTGATATGAATGCCGTCTTTGGCCTAAATGTGTTGTAATTCTAAACGTGTTTAGGAAAGTGTCTAAATATTGAAAGTGCTTAGAATTAAAACACGTTTGGCTTCATATACTTGACGAAGTAGCTAAACATGTTTAGCACAGCAACACGTTTATTGCGAAGTGCTGAGAGCCAAAACATGTTTATTTCTTCATGTTTAGAAATTGAACACTTTCCTAAGCACATAAGTCTTGCAACACGTTTAAATTCTAAGCACTATTTTTTAACAGTGTATTAGTTATCCGAAATATCTAAAATTTGTTCATGATTTAATTATTTTTTGGTGATGTTGTACCCTTTTAGACTTGTTATATATTATATTTTGTAGTGTACTGTATCAAAATTTTATGATCCATCGCCCCGTAAGATTTATCGTTGGCTATTATTCAGTCATTTAATAATATATAGATATATACTTGGTACATGCATAACAAGGAAATTTATCAAAACTTCTCACTCTCGATTGATTTTGTATGTGTTGTTTTCTATATACCATTTCTCCTTTCAACAAGTATTTTATTACGAACTAAATATATCATTTTCATAGTAACCAATCAGAACGGCATAAATTAAGTGTTGAGAGGTCCCGTTTCCCCCAAGAGGAGTTGAAGGCTTAAAATTCAAATCATTGTTTTTGGCGGACTTGAAAAAAAACGTTTTAAACATAAGTGAAAATTTAATTATACGGTCTCACACGTTTCCCTGTATGATTTAGTTATATTTGAATTTTTTAATTTTGTACTGAACAAATTGTGAAATATATGGAAAGAATAGGAAGTAAGATAACAAAAAAACCGAACTCCAAGGAAAATTCGAAACGGAAAATCCCTTAGCAAATGGCAAAATCAAAAGCTCGAACCCATCAAACGAATGAAAAACAACTTTCAATTTGATTATATTATCATAAGAATGATATGTTGCCTTTGATGGTTACCAAAATAAAGAAATAAATTCGCACAATAAACATTGTCAGTTAAAAATATTTTCCATTATCTAATCTTTCATATATTCTTATTTCTGTTTTATTTTATTTCGGTGGTTAATATTTTTTCTTATTACAATTTCTATAAAGTTCTATTTTCTTTAGGTTAACAAAGATTTATATCTTAACTCTCAGTAAAAAATTAAAAACTCGATAATGTAGAAATTCATGCTGTATCCCTTTCGGTTAAAGATGCCTGTCATTTTGTTATTTAAAACACCCCTTTGTTTAGTTGGATTGAACAAAATCACATGTTATTTAATATATATATATATTTTTTGTACCAAACAAGTTGTGAAATACATGGAAAAAATAGAAATGATGCGTTGCCCCTTTTTGTTCACTAGGCACGTGATTTCATCCATCGATGTTTGATGGCGCCAAACAGTGTGATGTTGTTGTTTGTACCGTTTTTTTTTTAACTTTGTTTTATATTTTTGGCCTTGATGATGCTGTCTGTACTGTTTCGGAGTTTTATCATTTCAAAATCGTAACCAAAACGTTATAATTAGATTTTAAGTGCCAATCTACCTAAGAATCAGGCAGTGGTGAAAACATGACAAACAAAAACCCACTCAAGTTGACCTTAATTTATGTTCAAATTGTATAATAGTACACGAATATAACATTCGTTTCCCTTTCCTGTTCTGGTTATTCAAGATATAATTTGGTTGAAATGCACTAGAAATTAAAAATTAAGGGGAGCTAACTCTGTAATTTGCTATCATTCTAACCAAAAAATATCTAGAGATTTCTGGAATTACCAGACACGCAGAAACAAAAGACCTACCATTTCTAACTCAGGATGAGGGTAACTTAAAATTAGGATGGTTAGGTCGGTGGGTTTTTTTCGACCATGTTTAGAATTTTTTCCAAATTGCCTGATTCTTACAGAGACTGGCACTTAAAACGCTAATTGAATATGTTGGAATTTGTTATCTTGTAACTATCTGTGGTTGCTTAATATGTCTTTTTAATTTATTACCAAGAAACCAATTCATTTACATAATTATAAAAAAATTTCACGGAAACATGATTCTTGCAAAATGTTATCTTATTTACATCACGGGCATTATTAAAATAATTGTCACAAATATAATGAACAAAACATCAAATGTAAACTAGTTAACTCCAAGTGCGCATCACTGGTAAAGATGGGGAGTATCTTTCCAGTTCCTCGTCAAAGATTGGTATGTATTATTCGCCGTGGATGAAATTACTACTCCACATTCATCATAAACATGCGGATTGTCACTTTGTAATCTTTGATCATGGTTTTCTTCATAACGGTTGCTCATGGTGTTCATATCATCTGAAAGATTCTGATTAGAACTATGTTCTAACTGGTCTCTACTTGTTGCCCCGTTTTTAGTTATGTTGGTCATATTTGTTTGGATATTGTGTAAAAGTTCATTTCCCATATTTTGTACATTTTCCTGGCGTATTTGTATTGTTAAATCATTATCGAAAACATAAGTGTCAGATTGCAATGTCGGCGAACTCCAGAAGGCATCTGCACTTGCAATGGTCAGACCCGTGTCTCTTGGGGTAGCTTCACATCTCCTAAACAGGATGCGCAGTGCAACAGATGCTGCAATCAAAATCAGACAACCGCCAATTGTGCCAGATAATCCAAATAGTGCTGTGATAGAAAAACCTGAAATAGTAATCATACATACATAAAATAAATCATAATAATAAATCATAATAATAAATCTCTTCTATTCTAAACTAATATTCAACAATTATTTTTATTTTTTAATAAACAGCTTACTCCTAAAATCAACAAATTGTTCGTGAAGACTCATCGTAAATGAATTAAACAAACTGAAGTCAATATACGCGCACAATGAATTAAAAATTATAATTTGTAAAACATCATTTTTTTCTGATAATGACTGTAATGGACAAATCTTTTTACATTAATTTACCTCTCTTTAAGTACCAACTGAACTGTAATAGGCAAAGAATTTTGTGATCACAATGCCATCCGGGAAACACTAAACTACTATATGAAGCCTTCTTTTATGTTTTAGGATGACAAGCAGTTCATAAGACTAATTAAAAAAATGAAATGACAATTATAAGCATACTTAATTGGGACTTTGCTGGCACTATGTATGAACAGGTCGAATTTCCACATATCCCTAACTTCACTTGTAGGTTATCATCTTGTTCTGTACAAAAATAAAAGCAAGTTTTGCAAAAACAACAACTCTAAAAAATGAAAACAACACTTTATAAGAAATGTGCCCGAAGCGTTTTTCTGGAAGTATCTTCATCAGGAATGCTGAAAGCCGAACATTTGAAAGTCCAGAATGTATAAGAACTGAAACAGTTGAAGAGCTATATATATAATATATATATTCTTAATCCTTTGCTTTGAGCACGAACAAAGAATACCATTTTTGTTTGACTAGCAATTCAACTAAAAATTCCGATTTTTACATTGTCAACTGCTGTAACTGCAAAGCAAAGTTAATCCGGGTTTTGCATAGAAAATATGAACAAGAAAGAAGATATTCGTAGCTTAAAAATTTTATTTCGTTTATATTTGTTAATTTTTATTTGTGGTATATATTTTTTTGCTCCAACTTAAAGTAATGGAAATAAAATTTGAATCGAATTGAAAACAAGATGCAAAATACAATTAATAAAATGCAAGCTTTAAAGTAATAAAACAAAACCAAACCAAAACGTGAATGAAATATACATGCACCAAGCGTGATAAGGTAAGTGATATCGGAAGATATTAATCTTTTTTTTTTTTTTTTTTTTTTTTTTTTTAATTAGAACACAATCATATTTGACCGCAGAAATATAGAATACATCTTTTATGAATAAGGTGCATCTATAACTGACATTTCATATCAAAACTTTAAGCCTTATATCCTCGTATTCAGGGATTTACAACACTAGAATCTTGTCTTCATCTATTCGGCGGAATCAATATAATGAAACACGAGGCTCTTATATGTATAATGTTTGTCACACATGGCTTTGTGAAATAACTAAATAAATTTTAGCAGTATCATTGTGTTTTAAATACTGCTAGACCAAGTATTGCATAAGGTTGATCGGATTCCTCTTCGGGATAATTGGACTTGTACATTGTATTACTCTTCCATTACTGGAACGATTAAAATAATGTCTACCATCCGGCGAAATAGTTGATAAAACAATATGTGCTTAACAGTTACAATTTTTATGAAATTTTGAATTAAGGCATAATTTGAAAACTGTTTAGTGTGTGCTTTGCCTAGTGTTTTGAAAATTCTTTGTTTGAAGCTGTTCGTTATATTTCAAACGTAGTATTTACTTTAAATAGTTCATATTTTAGCACATATTTTTTTTTATTCAGTCGGAAAAAACTGGACGCCCCTCAAAAAACCTGGACTGTTCTTGAAAAAAAAAATCCGGACAAATAAAAATCACAAAATGTTCTTTTTCATTCAACATGTAATGTTTGTAAATATAAGTTTTATGAATGCATGTCCTTTGGTTTCTTTTAATCTTGTAATCTTTTAGGAATTAAAGCATTTAAGGGTATATTTAACTTTTATGATTTAAAATAATATTTTGTTAAACATAATTTTTCATAACAAATTATAAGTTACTTTCTAAATTTATTTTAAGTTCGATCCAGAAAAAAGTTTTTCTTCTCCCCCCTTTTCAGTATAACTTACGAAAAAAAACCTGGTCATACGCGAAAAAAAAACCCTATCAAACGACTCGAGAAATATAAACCCAACCAAACATTATATCTACAAATTTGTATCTGTGAAATATTTAAAACAAACGTACATTTTAATGCAGAAGAAAAACTATGGGCAATTAAATAAAGTTTAATTTGCTCACCTTGAACAAACAAACGAACATCTTGTGATTTTACTCTGTCACCTTGTATAAACGCACATCTGTATGTTCCTTCATCCTCCTTAGAAACATTTATAATATTTAAGTCGTATTTGTCCTCGGGAGAAATGTTAATACTAATTCTTCTATGGAAAGGTAAATCAGTGTTTACGGTCTGTCCGTCTGTGTATGTGTTTTCTGTCACATTTTTACTGGGGTTTAGACGAAGCCATTGGATGACGTTGTTTCCTGGTATATTTTGACAAGGCAGCACTGCAGTTTCACCACACATGATATGTTTCGTCAATATTTTGTCCGTGCCTGTAAACAATAAAGAAAATATAAGCATGCAAAGAAATGAAGAAAAGAAGGAACACATTTAACTTAATGTGTTGCATAAACGTAACGGTTTAAGATTGAGAGTTAATATTCAGTTATTTTAATCCGACCGTAAGGTGTGTTTTAGACAGCAATGCAAACCAAATCAAAAAAATAATTGCATCCATTAATTATTCAAGATAAAGCGAATTTATCAGAATCTGTGATCGTTTTTCAAATGTAAAAAACATTGCTTCAACAAATTAAGCCGATTGATATTTATACAATATGAGGTCTTGCTTCTTTTATCATTTTATTTACCTTGACTTTCAGCGGCACAGATCCACACTATTTTCAGCAGTAATGATAAATCTTGGAAGTAAGGAACCATTATAGATTCTTTGTGTAAATATAATTATCATGTTAAGTCGACTTTTATTATGATAATATTAGATTATTTATTATTTCCTTAATTTGTGAATCCGGAAATCGTTTCAATTGTACAAAATAGCTTTTTTTTTGGAATGTGTGTAAGTCATTTCCTTTGTAATTGTTCTAGAAAAATGAAATAATAATAATAATAATAATAATAATAATAATAATAAACTTATATGATATGAGCTTCTGGTAATCATAATGTTAAAGAAATTATTGAACCAATGCATGCATATATTCTATACTAAGTCGATCCTCTATCCACGTTTATTTTTATCAATTGATAAGAATCCATAACGTACGTATACTCGACAAAACATTATTCGTTCTGTGTTTGTTGATCGAAAACTGGTTGCTAATCAACTTTCGGGTTTTGGTGCTGAATTTTACCGATCATTACCTACTGATAAACAATCAACACAAAATCATGAAGCAAATCAAAATTAAATGAAATGATAGAGCGATGTATAATTTCCAAGCGTTCCCATTTCATGATTAACGTTTGTCATTACAGTTGTTAAATGATTGCTGCGTTATTTGTTTCTTTCAGAATCGATTTATCATACTAAATGTATCTTCCTTCAACGGTGTGTGTACAGCTTCTTTCACCACGGGTTTCTTTCGCACGTGCGCTGTTCGGTTGCTGCATTTCTAACGAATGGTGTCATGGTTTATGTCCCTGCATACGGAAAAGCTTTCGGCGAATTAGAGTACGGGAAGACATTTATTCAATAGCAATAAATTTCTGAAGATTTGGTTAAAATAAAGGATTTACTGTTAAAAGATAGTATATGTACACGTATAGTTAAACTTAGCTATTATAGTATTTAAAACATATTCAACATTTTGTTTTTATAAATTTGAAGTATCATATGATTTTAAAGAGGGTAACTCAATTAGTTTCCATGACTATTTCCAATTGACCTTATTGAACAAAGTGATGAAACATAACTTGAACCTTGGCACAAAATAGTTACTCATCGAGATCATTTCCCGTTAATATATATATATATATATCCTGTTTCACTTTTCAATAATCTTTGTCTATTTACAATGTCAAAAAACATGCTATATTTATACAATTTTCTCTTATCATGTTGAAGACCTACATGTATATTTGGATATATACTGCAGCTGTGCCAATTTCTCAGTTAATTGCATTGACTGTATAATCATTTGTAATCTACAGTCACTGACCGTATATCGCCTTGATTATGACGTTTTATTATGCGTTTCCGTAGAGTTTTATTTATGACGTCATTAAAGGTGCATTCACACGATACGATTTTCCATTCGATTTTCATTCGATTTTTACCTATGCACTTGCTTTCGACTAAAATCGTACCGTGTGAACACTAAAATCTGAAGTCGAATGTCAAGTCGAAACGGCACAGTCGTTTTGAAATCGAAACGTACGCTATTTCCATTCGACTTTTTAACTGGAATCGGATCGTGTGAACGCCTGATCGACTAAGTTTTTAGTCGATTGAAAAAATCAAGCAAATAATTCTAATCGACACTGAATATTCCAATTTTCACATCATTCGTAACGTTTTTATTCGTAAAGGGAACAGTGTCATCTTTTGTTCATAAACCTGGCTATTCTGCGCTCTACAGTATATGTTATGTCAAACTAGTTTTAAATTACGCTAATTAAACTAGAAATTTAAGAAAAATATATTTTTCAGATAGCGAGGTGGCCCTAATTTAGAAAAAGACAATTCATTATACCTGTTTGCACCTGAACTTCAATATTTTAAATTTATTTTTAAATCATTAGCATCTCATTTTGATAAGAACCAAACAGGAATTTTTGAGAACTTTTCAAGTAAGATGGTTTTAAATGAAAGTAATACAATGTACATGTACATTAGAAAATGTTCGTGTGGTTACACTTACGTATACGTCACATATTGTTCGTTATTTGTTTTTACATGCATTTGATTCCGGACTCCCCTTTTTTTACCAGACCTTTACTTATAAATTACTAGTACCTATTTGAACTTACGAGTGCGAGTGCAATGTAACACGTTAGCGCGTTTATTGACACTCATTCTCCAGACATGGCTGATATGATAGCCGTTGAAATACTAGACAATAACGAAGAGCAGAAAGTATCTGAAGACTTGGATTTTATCGACCTCTATGAAAATGAGTCATCTCTATGTGACGTTACGTCCCAATTGTATCATGATAAAATTGAGAGGAAAAGGGCCCTAGAGAGAAAAAATGGTAAAATAAACATAGGAGGTAAATGGTTATACATATATGTAATGAATATATTCAAAACTTTACGTTTTAACATTTACATCACTCCATTTTTAGAAGAAGAAAAAAAAGTGTCTAATGTTGCATCAATGTTTTCTTTTTAAATAAAATGGGGGATAACTCGTATAAATGTATAAAATATAGTGACGTAAGGTTCCAGAAGGGAACTTTAATTGTTCATTTTTTCTCTTTTAAAACAGAATCTTTCTATATGTGTGCTATTTCAACAGACTGTCATTTACTCTTTTCGACCTTTGTATTAAGCAGAATTTTCAGGAATATTTGGTGTCCCTCCGGTTTAAAATAAAAGTAACCCAAAGTAATGATACAAATATTCGAAAACAGTGCGATTGCTTTTCTGTTCAAATTGATTTTAAAAATATGCAGTAAGGAACTTAATGTTATTTTTATTGTTATCTGCTATTAAAGTGCGTCATTCTCAATTATTTATCCGACAGCTTATGGCGATCGAGTTTGTGCTTAAATATCGGTTATAGGTAAGATGTCTTTTTGTTTCAGTTGATAAGATCAATAAAAAAATCAACAATTTGAGAACCTATTATAGGAGGGAAATGAATAAGGTGGAAGATTCCAAGAGAAGTGGTGCTGGGACATGTGAAATCTATGAGAGTAAATGGCCTATGTACCAGAGTATGAAATGAAACAGAAAAACAATAAAAAAAAAACAGTAAAAAAAAAAGTCAAAGTCAAAGTTTAGACTTTGAATTTGAATATAAAACTACTTCTGTGGTTCGAAATAAATAGCCTGACTTCTAAACTTACACAAACGACTCAGGAAATCGAAAAAAGACGAGTTCTACAAGTCGAAAAAAGTCGAGTTCTACAAGTCGAAAAAACGACTTGTGAAAGCAAAATCATGCAGAAGTTGCGAATTGCGAACCGTACAACCCCTTTATCTTATTCTTTTTCGGATCCCCAAAATCACCTATCTGAAAAATAATTAAAGTCGTGTTGCATAACTACAGTGTATGAAACAAGTATGTTGTATATGAAATCGGGAATAGGCCAAGTTGGCTAAACAAAAACATTTTTAAATAAATATCTTTTTCATGAGATCATATAACGGATATTTATCATACAAGATATACAAAGTGTGTCGACTCTACCAAAAATTGAATAACAGATGTTTTGTTCTATTTCTTCAAATATTTAGAACAATTTGACATGTAGTCCATGCTTAATATTCATTTTTTAGAAATAGATGCTTGTAACATATTTTATTTGCTCATTTTTAAACGATGACTTTTTGTGAACGTCGCATGACGACGTATCCGCAGATTTTACTTTTTCGGTGTATGGTTAATCTGTTGGTTTATACTGTGTTTGTTTTGTGTATATCTAAACATGTTTACCTATGTTGAAAGACGTGTATAGTGTCAAATTATAAAATTACAAGTGGTTTAGTTTCAAAGAAAACTTGTAAGATTTCCGCAGCTATTTTTGTTGAATAGGTGCAATTTGGGTACTCGATGCAATTTGGGTACTGTGACGTTATATATATGAGAAGATGTGGTATAAATATAATTGCAAATGAGACAACTCTCCACAAGAGACCAAATGACACAGAATTTATCAACTATAAGTCTTTATTCCATCGTGTAGCTGAACAATTGCATATAGTTAGCATTTTAAAACTAAGAGCCAATTATAGAAAAAAAATATCCTTCGCATATCTGCAATTATGAATTTTTTTTTTCGTCATTCACCTTTAATTGAGATATTACAAAAACTATATTATTTTGAAGCCCACTCCATTTGAGAAAAAAAAGTGAAAATAAATATCCGTGCGGAAGAAAAATAAGCATGCATAGCAATATGTATCAACCCCCCCCCCTTTCCAAAGGTTTGTAATTTTCCTATAAGTAACTTCCCACTGAACGTTAAGCAACCAAAGTTCAATATAAGTTTCAAGTAATTAATAAGCGGTACTTAACCTACCGTTGTAATAAGCATCAATTCATCGAATGTTTTTTTTTATGAGGAAGGTGCTTTTTGTTTTCTTATAAAAAAAATCATGATCAAATTTATTTTTTTATTTTTGGCAGAATTCTTCAACTAACGAAGGAGATGATATTGAAGATGACAGTGGAAGCGATTGGCCACTTAATTCTGTAACAGCAAATTCTTCCACAAGTTCCACAACAACTTCTAAAAAGAGGAAACAAACGTTTAAAGACAATAAATCTGATATGCCTTTACAAAAAGCAATTGACACACTGAATACACCAGAAGAAGAAGATTCCAATGATGCAATTTTCGGAAAATATGTTGGAACATCCCTCTTGGTCATGCCAGAACGACGTAAACAAATTCATTTTAAAGAACAAAATTCAAAATTTGGTGCGTGAAACCCAAATTTTAAACCTAAACCAGCAATATCAAAGTTCTTCTCAGCAGCAAGTACCTCGCAGTCAATCCCAACAAGTGCCAAGAGATATGCAATCGTATCCAATGAATAATAGCCAATCCCAAAATCAATGCTACACTCAATACATAGATGGAAACCAGTATCTCAACCTTTAAAAAAACAATGCAAATCTAAAATAGATATATGTTGTCATATTTTTTCTTATATTAGGTTGTCTGATTTGACTTCTGTTATTTTATAATAAAATAGTTAGGTCTATATATTTAACTTAAGTTTATTATCTATAGTATTGAATTATTGTAATATGAAAAGTTTGTGACTACATATTCTCTTCATGCATATTCAAT